TCTCCTTCCTGGGGACGAGCGCTGCGGGGGGGAAGGAGGGGTGCTGCCCCCGGCCCGCCCTGCCCGGCCGTGGGGGGGAGCTGGAAAGGGAGGGGGAAATCTGATGTCTGGGGGTGTGGGGCAACCTGGACTTTTGTTTAGTTTAATAAAATGAGGGCCCCGTGCGCCGTGGTGCCGAGGAAGAATCTGATAAGCGGGGCCCTGAGAGGATATAAAACTTGAAGGTTAATAAAGTTAAAATTCAAGGTCCCCAGAGGTTGCCTTTTTTTTAAAAAAAGCCAACTTCATTGACTCACAGTGCTTAGGGCGGGAAGCACTGCAGTACGAGGAGGATAGAAGGTAAAAGAAAACGGGGGAAACTTGGCCCCAGGAGCAAGTGGGTGGGAACAGGCCATGTTACCCTAGATGGATTGAAAAGGGAGGTAAGCAACTAAACTCTCCTGTGGTGTAAAGCCGTGTTTTAGATAATTGACCGTTTGAATGCATGCAGTCTCATTTCTTGGTGCTCTGCTGAAAGCCCTCCCTGTGGCGCATCTCCAGGGGCTTTGCCTCCTCACTGCCAGCCTGTGATGTTTCTCTTACAGAGGAACGATGCGCTTGTTCCCTCAGGATGCTTTCTGTTGGGGATATATCTATTTCTGTAGGGAGCCTGGGGCAGACCCATGAACCGGCATTGCAATGAACAGCTTGTTCGTTGTGCAGTTGTACGCAAAAAAATTCCGTGCCTGAGAAGCAGGATGGCGGTGTTAACATGGCACTGTGCCTGGCTAATCTTGAGCCTTGGAAAGCTTCCCTAGGCGGTGGTGCTACCCTGCACAAGAGCTGGGACCAGAAAATCCCTTTCCTTCCCAGGGCTTACACAGCAGCACACTTGGGGTACCAGTGCTTCTTGAACTTGGGCTTAAGATATGTAACTGTTAGTGCAGTCCCATGCTAGGGCTAAATCCGAAATCCCCTTTAAGTAACATGAAGGTATCAGAGGAACTGCTGTCCCCAAAGTGAGGAGATATCTACAGGAACTGAATACTCAAGACGTGTTTGGTAAATTGCTGGACCATGGTAAGACTGTGATTCCCTGCTCCGGTTGAGCTGTGTTAACAGCTTCTTTTGCTGTTTACTATTCTCACCTCGTTTACCATTCTCACCTTGCCTAGACCTCTTCTGCTGTTCCTGCCTTCAGCTGTACAGTTCGTCTTCTGTCTGTCTTGCACCAACCCTAGTGCTCACTTGATCACATAATAAGCCAATTCAGCTTGCTTTCCAGCCAAAACCAATTTATTTTCTGCTGCTTTAGTGAGTTGAATTGGCTTTGTACTGCAATCAAGTGTGCGCTGGAGCAAGGACTTGGCAGAAGCATGTGTCCCACAGGGAAGAAACTGGGGGAGGGATGGGGGGAGAGGGCTACCTCTCTCGGCAGCAGCGAGTGGTGAATGTAACTGAAGCCTTAATGTGAAGTTGCGGTTTGAGACACTACTACCCATCAGTTAGTCGCTACGCCTTCTCAGTTTGGGGCTGTCATCCTGCTAGCAAAGGCAGTCTAACAGCAGGAGTGTTTTACTGCTTCATGGTTCTGTTTGTTTCTAATTCTTACTGTTTCTAATTAAAGGTAGTTTAGGCTAGTTTGGCAGATTTTACCCTGAAGAGGATTAGGGTGCCTGCATGAATTCTGTTCTCCTGTCTAGGTGATAAACATTTGGGAAATACATTCTTCACTTGCATCCAGCAGAGGATGTCTGCTCTTGATGGGGGGCATAAGGAATTACAGCTCCCTTCAGGTAGGCAGGTTTCACACAAGTAGCAGAAAAGTCACAAGGAGACATGGCTGGAAACAGACTTTTTTCTGGGGGGCTGAAATATGAAAGTACCTTGACAGCCACTGTCTACAGTATAAGTAGTAGTTTTGTTAAAGCATTTTTCTTTCTGGACTGAAAGTGTTAGGGTGTGGCCATTTTGGTTTGCTGGAAGACTGGGTGGAACTGAAGGGATACGATTATGGACTGGGTAAAATTCAGTGAAGCTGACGGGCAAGGTAGGTGTTTAAAAAGTGGCTAAAGTCATTATGGAACCAGGTAGTTGAAACAACAGGGTCGCAACCGAGCCAGAATTACATGGTGAGATCTACATTAAAAACTTAACTGTGACCAAAGGGATTTTCCCTGGGAACTCATAAAGCAAACACAAGGCATTGAGGTAGCGATTGCTGGAGTTGCCTATATATGACATAAGAACCAGTGAATCAAGCCACAGAAAATGGTGCTGATTAGGGAGAGACAGCCAGAGGTAGCAGTAGGAATGTGTCTCTAAAGAGAAAAAAGTAGAGGGAGATCATGAAGGGATTGGATACGGTACTGGCTGAATTTGGATGAGAACCATCAAGGAAAAAAGATCTCATCATTTGTTCTTACCTTGTTGCAGGTAAAAGGATGCTGTGTTGTATGTAAGCAGATGGGTACAAACCCGTACAAAGAAAGATGCACCTGGTTCTGTCATCAGTTTCTCCTTTTAATAGAAATAACTTTTGGGACTGAATTTTGGCTAGGTGCTGAAGTCCAGAGGGACTGATTTGCAGAAAATGAAGTGTGAACCATTTGGATTTTTTTTTTTTTCTGGTAATTTACTTGAGTAGGTCACATCTGTGTCTTAGATCAACGCAGTCCTGGACACTTGCTCCAGTGTAACAAAACAAAACAAAAAAACTTAAAAACCAAGCTAGGTATAGGGTACAAGGTGCCATCAATAGACCTCCAGGGACAGATTTCTCCAACCAGGCAGGCAGGCAGGGCACCACTGGAGTCTGTTCAGTCTGACAGGAACACTAAGCTCCCGAGATCAGCAGGACTAAAATTAGCTTTGGAACATTTTTTTTCTGCCCTCTTGGTATTACTTTTACATGAAATCTGTTGTTTATTGTTATAAACAACAAGAAAACAATTTGGGTTGAAGGCTTCCTTTTATTTCTTTTTTTTTGTTGTTGTTCTTTTCTTAAAAAGATTTTGAAATCCCTGGTCTTTGGAATGGGAGGTAAATTGAGTTTGGGAACTAAGTAATTGGTTATGTGTTGGTCTTTTTTTTTCTGTTCTAGTGGAAAAAAAACACCACCAAGTACTGCTTCAGCAAAAGAAATGTAAACAATCATGACTGATTTAATATTAATATCGTATCCTTGGTGTGTGCTATTACAAATACTTATTTTTAAAAGCAATGGAAACCATCCTTAGGCTTCTTTTATTGTTGTCTTTGGTAACGTGTGAATTGTTTGGTTGGTAGTTTTTCTTTTCCAAGGCTGAGTCCTTCCCAGAATCTTCTGAGCAATTGCCTAGTTCTGATTTAAAGATCTTACAACACGGATTTCTGAAAAGTGGGATTTTGTCACACTGAATCTAGACTCTAGCTGGGGAATAGCCGGCTTCTGGGACACGTCCAAAACAGGCTGAAGGCAGTGAGGATGTTTCTATTGAAGCCTTGAATCCCGAAAGACTGTTAACTGTGAGGCCCTTCGTATTTATATCAGCTTGAAGTACGGAGCTGTAATACCGGCCTCGGTAATGC